GCCTGTATCCTCTGCTGTTTCAAGCCTCACCCTGCTCAACAACTCTCCCTCCGCTCCAGTTTTCTCTCTGGGGTGGCCGCACATAGAAAATTGTTTGGGAAGCACTGTAGGTAATAAGTGAGCAATTATTAACTTGGACTAAAAAAGTAAGAGATGCCACCTCAAAAAATGGTGGAGCATGCCTGATGACTCACTGCTCAATTTCCACATAACAACAGTGTGCTATTTCTTATACAGTTTGTTGATCGACCATAAAATGCTTTGGGAAGTACGAACATTATGAAGCGCCGCATATAAATCTGTGTATCCCTTTCAAGATGCTAAATAGTGCGCTACTATTCCCTTATTTCTACCTTGAACTAACAACAGCAGTCATTTGTAAGCAGAGAGTGAAATATCCCAAGATACTTCACAGAATCATTATCAAACCAAATTTGACATCGAACCACATAAAAAAGTTATTAGGTTTCATGACTAAAATCTTGCTCAAATCATTTTAAGATGTCTTTTACAGGTGAAAGGAGCTGTTTAGGAGAGGAAGTTCCAGAGCATTGGCAGCTGCCATGGATAATGTGATTAACATTGATGATGCAGAATAACATCAGGTAAGTCCGTATATCTCATGATGTGGAGCTGGTGGAGATAACAGGAAGACTGAGACTTTGGAGGGATTAAAAAAGAAAGATCACACTGAGGAGCTGCTTAACTGGGAGTCATTGTAGGTCAGCAAGCACAGAGGTGATGATTGAACAGGTCTTGGTACAAGTTAGGAAATTTACAGAGTTTTGAATGACCTCAAGTTTACAGGATGGGTAAAACATGGGTTGTCAGTAACAAATGCACAAGTTTAGGAGTAACAGAAATATAGGATAAGCTGAGAAAGGACAGAGTAGGGTGATGTCACATGGTGATATAGATAGGCCTTGTGATGCTGTGGATGTATCATTGGGAGCTCAACTCGAGCTCAAATACTTTATTGAGAATGGAGTTTGTGGCAAATATGCAAAACAGTTACTTCAGTCGTTCCAATATTTAGTTGGAGGAAATTCTTTGCTCATCCAGTTATGGACATCAGACAAACAGTTTGCCAATTTATAAATGGACGAAGGGGTCAAGACAGTAAGGACAAATTAGATCTAAGTATCATCAGCAAAAATGTGAAACTTCACACTATTTTTGTATGATGTTGCCAAGAAAACATAGGTGAGAGGTGAGAGTAACTAAGAATAGAACCTTGGGAATATCAGAAGTGTTGGAACAGGCAAATAATCCAATTACAAATGATGCCCTGGTTGTAACTAGAAAGATTAGAATAGAACCAAGAGAGTACAGTCACACATAGCTGGATAACTGGAGGAGGATGGTGTGGTCAACCATGTCAAAGGCTGCAAACAGGTCAAGAAAGATGAGAAGGATTAGTTTGACATGACAAAAGTCACATAGAGTGTCATTTGTGACATAAGTAACAGCTGTTTCAATACTATGGTGTGGCAGAAACCTGACAGAGAGGATCAAATGTGGTATTATGGATTTGGAAGGTTAAACATGTTCAGAAACTTGATAGAGAGGAACTTGAGATTGATAATGTGTGCTCATTTGCATGGATGGAGGGTTTTTTTTGTATGAGAGGGGCAATGACAGCAGATTTGGAATCAATCAGGACAGTCCTTGTGGAGAGAGAATGACTAATAATATCAGCTAAGGTGGGAACCTGAAAGAGAAGAAGTTCAGTGGGAAAAGGGCCATGGGAGTAGAGATTGGGTCTAATGGACAAGATGAGGTTGGAGAGTGTATGAGGGAATTAGAAATTAGAAAAAGACATGAGTTCAAAGCCATGACAGATGGAACTTTTAGAGAAAGAGGAAGTGAGATCTGAGGCAGAAGCAGATGAATTGATGGTCTTGCTCATATAAACAAAGAAATGCATGGACTTCTTGCCCATTAGCTGTATGTGATGAATTTTTGAAATCAAAATTTATACAAAAGAAAAATGTAATGCAATTAGTTCACAGAATTACTCAGAATTATTTATTTAAAGAAACATTTATTATTGTAAAATGTTAACATTACGAATACAAGCTGACCACTCCAATAAATATTTAATTAAAATCAACTTTCCTCATTTATCTTTGGAGGAGCAACAAAAAGAAACCAACACATCCGCATCAGAATTTCCCTCACACCCCTCGCCCCATACTTTCTGTTCCACTCTAATGGAAAGAAGAAAAGGTTTCTTTATTTAAAGTTTACTGCCAACAGTTTACTGGCCAATTGGAAATTATTAAATATTATTATTAAATGTAACAAATCATTTCTTACTTTCTAAAATAAAGATTTGTTGTTAAAAGAAATCTGTAACAAACATCTAATGGCTTCCTACTCCTCAGGGGCAGCATTCTATCCACTGTTGCAGAAGCAGTAAGATTTTCCCACAAAGGCACCATCCCCCCACACCTCTCCACTCCTCCCCCCACCCCCACCTCCCCACTGATCCATTGATTGGCTTATTTATTTATTGTTGTCACATATATCCAAATACAGTGAAAAGCGTTGTTTTACATGCACAGCAGGCAGATCACACCATATAAAAATGCATCAGAGTAGCAGAACAAAGATTAGAATAGTGTTACAGCCGCAGAGAGAGAGGTCAGAATTAACACTTGAGGGGTCCATTCAAAAGCCTGATATCTGCAGGGAAGAAGTTGTTCTTGAATCTGTTCGTACATGTATTTAAATGTTTACATTTGCCCAGTGGAAGTGGGTGGAAGAGAGTATAACCAGAGTGGGAGTGGTCTTTGATTATGTTGATTGTTTTCCGAGGCAGGGAGAGTAAATGGAGTCAATGGATGGAAACAAAAACAAGGTTGTTGGAAAAGCTCAGCAGGTCTGGCAGCATCTGTGAAGAAAAAAACAGAGTTAACGTTTCGGGTCCGGTGACCCTTCCTCAGAACTCTCGGCCATCTCCACCTCAGCACCATTGATGTAGATGGGGCAGGCGGGCGCCCTCCACTCCGCTTTTTGAAGTCAATGGCCAGCTCCTTCATTTTGCTGTTGTTGACACAAGGATTGTTGTCTTTTCACCATGCTGCTAAGCAAACTCTTTCCTGTATTCTGTCTTATCATTGTTTGAGATCCGATCTACAACAGTGGTATCATCAGCAAATTTGTAAATGGAGTTGAGACGGAATTTGGTCACACAGTCATGAGTGTATAAAGAGTACAGGATAAGGGGCTAAGTAGGCAGGCTTGTGGGGGCACCAGTGTTGAGGATTATGGTGGAGGAAGTGTTGTCACCTATTCTTACTGATTGCGATCTATGGGTCAGGAAGTTGAGGATCCAGTTACACAGGGGGAAGCCGAGACCTAGGTCTCAGAGTTTAGAGATGAATTTATTTGGAATTATGGTGATGAAGGCAGAACTGTAGTCAATAAGTAGGAGTCTGACTTGGGTATCCTTGTTATCCATATGTTTCGGGGATGAGTGTAGGGTGAGGGAGATGGCACCTGCTGTGGACCCGTTGCAACGGTAGGTGAACTGCAAAGGGTCAAAGCAGTTTGGTAGGCTGGAGTTGATGTGAGCCATGCCTAACCTCTTCATTACTTCATAATTACAGAGGTCAGGGCGGTTGTCATTGAGGCAATCTGCATGATTTTTCTTTCGCACCGGGATGATGGTGGTCTTCTTGAAGTACTTGGGGACTTTACATCGTAGTAAGGAGAAGTTAAAGATGTGTGCAAATACTCCCGTCAGCTGGCCTGCACATGATCTGTATGCACAGCTGGGGTCTTCACCTGGGCCAGTCACTTTCCATGAGTTCGCTGCCAAGAAGGCTGATATAATGCCTGTGGCAATGACTGTGTGTACAGGTGCATCTAAGGTTGTTAGGATAAGTAACACTGTTACACTGACCTTCCGTTCAAAGCGAGCACAGAATGCTTTGAGCTCATTGGGTAGGGATGTGCAGTGGCCTGTGGTTCTGCTTGACTTTGCTTTGTAACCTGTTACATCGTATAAGCCTTGCCATAAATGACAGGTTTCCGTGTGTTTGGTCTGGGTCTCGAGCTATTGCCTCTTGGTGTCATTATGGCCTTGCAAAGGTTGTACCTGGATTTCCTGTATAGATCAGTGTTGCCTGATTTGTACACCTCAGAACTGAATTTCAATAGGGAGTGGATCTTCCAGTTCATCCATGGTTCCCAGCTGGGGAGCATTCAGATTAACTTCTTTGACACAGTCTTCTGCACACTTCTTATGAAGTCTGTAATGGTCGTGGCATACTTGTTCAGGTTGGCCACTGAGTTCTTGAATATCGGACAGTGCACCAATTCTAACAGTCCTGTAGGAGCCCTTCTGTTGCTTCAGACCAACACTGCACTATTTTCTGTACTGGGTCCTCATTGCTTCAATTTCTATTTATAAGCTGGGAGGAGGAGCACAGCATTTTGATCTGATTTTCCAAAATACAGACAGATGATAGAGCAGTATGCATCTTTGATATTGTATAGCAATGGTCAAGGGTGTTCAGACCTCTGGTGGAACTGATGATATTTTAGTAGCAGTTTCTTGAGGTTGGCCTGATTGAAGTCACCGACTAAACAGCAGAGTGGCACACACCCACACATGCTCTGTGAGAGTAAATTTCTGTAAAATTTCTCCTACCCAGTAGTTATAATTTTGGATGAAGAGCATTAGAAACACCAAAACAAAATATGTAAACATTATCACAACATTTTCCCAAAGTTTCTTTAGTTCTATGCTGAAACTGTAGTAAAGTAGTGGCAGAACGACTTTTACCCAAATGATGTAAACACAGTATTCAGTTAAATTAGAGATAGTATGAACTGCAGATGCTGGAGAATCTGAGATAACAAGGTGTAGAGCTGGATGAACACAGCAGGCCAAGCAGCATCATTAATTGAGTGTCTGCATTTGTCGGATAAGGAAGACCTTTTTTTTATTGAGTGCAAGCCTAATTTAGTTTGGACTTGGTATGACCTTAAAATCTGCAGTTTAAATTCCAGAGTTATTAATCTTAAACAGGGTTTTAATCAAGGTTTGCACTGAAAGAGTAGTTCACTTAAGAATGAGCTGAAACTAGATTCTCACTAAATGTCTAAGATAGACCCTTTGTGTTGGGAGTATAAATAAATAGCCTATATAGTGCAAATTTTAATGCCGTAGCAGAGTTTAGCGCCTCAAGGAGTTAAGTAGAGGAAGGAAAGCAATGTTTAATTGTTTTTGCTGACTCAAAGCATCTGATTGGTGAGTAAGATTGGGGGTATTTCTAACCTTTAAATTAAAAGTAAGGTCTTTAATTTGTGTTATGTCTTAGCCTTTTTTTGCTCTCTTTTTCTCTTCAAAATAGTTTGTAAAGTGGAAGGATGATATCAGTGTACAAAAAACTTAATTATAATAAAGTGCAAAAAACAGGAGGTCCTGCAATTGTAAAGAGCAGTGATAGGTTGGTAATTTACTAATACATTGAACAAAATACAATAGAGATGGCAGGTCGGGTGATATTTTGCTGCTGTGGCTGACAGCAGTTGGACACCAAGATAATCCAGAGTGAACGCATCTGGCAAGTGCTCAGAGCTTGAGCAACATTGAATCCAAGTTAAAGAGCTGGAGTCCAAACTGCAGATATTGCACCATGTCAAGGAAGGGGAAAGTTACGTGGATACTTGGCTCCAGGAGTTGGTCACACTTGTCTGATTATGTAATTTAAATTTGGTCTGTGATCAGGGACAAGAGAGTGCGACTGCAGGTGAGGCAGGTATGTGGACCCAATGGGTAGTTTTTGAGGAGAGCAGAGCCTGCAATTGTCCAACAGTTATGCCATTCTTGCAAGTTGTGGGGATGAGAGCTTGGACTGCAGGCAGGATGGGCAAACATCAAGTAGAGGCAGGAAATAGACAAATAACTTTGGTAGGTAACAGGATAATTAGGGGGATATTCACTGTTTGCTGCAGGCATGAGCAGGAATCCCAAAGGCTGTGTTATCTTCCCATTGCCAGTCTTAAGGACATCTCCTCAAGGCTGGAGAGGAATGTGAAATGGGCAAGAAGGGATACAGATGATGTTGTTCACGTTAGTACAACAACACTGAAATAACATTGATGGGCTTAGAAAGGAGGTTCTGCTGTAAGAGTTTGAACAGTTAGAAGCTAAATTAGAAACTACAGCCTCCAAAGTAATAATCTCAGGATTACTACTTGAGCCATGAACAAACTGGTACAGGGTAAATAAAGTCAAGGAGTTAAATACATGGCTCAAAGATTGGTGTGGGAGGAATGAGTTTCAGTTTGGGGGACACGAGCACCAATATTGGGGTAGAAGGGAGCTGTTCCAGTGGGAAACTGGTGTAAATCAGGACTTGAAAGTGAAGGAAGAACTCAAAGAAAATTATAATTACCAGAGAAGTAGTATTGAGTAAATTGCTGGAATTTGTGTTGACAAGCCCCCAGGTCTTGATGGATTTCATCCTAGTGTCATAAAAGAAGTAACTAGAGAGATAGTTGATGCAGTTATTTTAGTTTTCCTGAACTCATTAGGTTCAGGGAAAGTTCCTTTAGATTGGAAAATAACTAACTTCTTTATTCAAAAAGAGAGGCGTACAGAAAGCAGGAAACTATAGGCAGGTTAGCTTAATATCTATTCCAGAGAAAATGTTAGAAACTGCTTTAAAGATGTTATTACAGGGCACTTGGATAAGATGAAGGTAATCAGGCAGAGCCAACATGGATTTGTCAAAGGGAAATCATGCTTAAATCAGTTTATTGGAATTCTTTAAAGAAACAACTTGTGATGTAGATAAAAGAAAACCAGAGGATGTATTGTATTTAGATTTCCAGAAGGTATTTGATAATGTGCCATATCAAAAGTTATTGCAGGAAATAAAAGCTCATGTTATAGGGGTTAACATATTGACATGGATAGAAGAATGGCCGGCTAGGAGGAAGCCTGGCAGAATATCGTGAGTGTTGTGCCGCAGGGGTTGGTGCTGGGGTCTCAACTCTTCATAATTTATGTAAATGACTTTTATGAAGGGAAAAAGGGTATGTAGCTAATTTGCTGATGACATAAGGATAGTAAGGAAAGTAGGTTGTGAAGAGTTATAGCTCCTTATAGCATAAAATGATATAGATAGGTTAAGCAAGTGGACAAAGATTTGGCAAATGGACTTCAATGTGGCAAAGTGTGAAATTGTCTATTTTGGCAGAAAGTGTGAAAAACAGAAGCATAATATCTCAATGGTGAGAAGCTGCAGAGTTCTGAGATGCAGAGCGATCTGGGTGTCCTAGATCATGAATCACAGAAGGTTAGCATGCAGGAACAGCTAGTAATCAGGAAAGCTAATAGAATGTGCGGAGAATTGAATGCAAGAGTAAGGAGGTAATGCTTCAGTTATACAGGGCATTGATGAGACCATTTCTGGAGTACTATGTACAGTACTGGTCACCAATATATGGAAGGATGTTAATACATTGGTTGCAATTCATGGCTAGACTAATACCTTTAATGAGCAGAATGCCTAATAAAGAAAATCTAGACAGGCTAGCCTTGATATATCTGGAGATTAGAAGAGTCAGAGATGATTTAGTTGAAACATGTAAGATCCTGAGAATATTTGAGCGCCTCAGAGCAGCTGCAACAACTGCATTGGAAGACCGATTACTGATTACTGCAGTACTCCAATACACGTAAACGACTTTGAACGTTGACATTTACAGTTGTGATTGGACCAAGCTGAACCTGCATGAGAGTATCTAAGCTTGCAAGATGACAAGCTGGCTGGGGACAAACAGGGAGGGTCCCAGAGGACTGGAAAATGGTAATGTAACACCCCTGTTTAAGGAGTGAGGGAGGCAGAAGACACGAAATTATAGGCAAGTTAGCCTGACTTCAGTCATTGGTAAGATTTTAGAGTACATTATTAGGAATTAGATTGCAGAGAGCTTGGGGAAGTACATAGTAAAATAGAGCTGAGTCAGCACAGTTTCATAAAGGGGAGACCATCCCTGAAAAATCTGTTAGAATTTTTTAAAGGATATAATGAGCAAGTTAGACAAAGGAGAGCCATTGAACGTGATACATTTGGATTTTCAGAAGGCCTTTAAGAAGGTGTCACACAGGAAGGTGCTAAATAAGAGCCAATGTGTTAGGGGCAAGGTACTGGCAGAATAGAGGGTTGGCTGACTGGCAGAATGCAGAGAGAGGAGATAAAGGTATCTTTTTCAGGATGGCAACCAGTGACTGATTGAGTTCATGGGGGTCAGTGTTGGGACCACAACTACTCACATTATGTATTAACAATGTGGATGGAGGAACTGAGGGCAAAGTTTGGAGAACAAAAAGATAGGTGCAGGGGTAGGTAGTGTTGCGGGAGTGGGGAGGCTGCAAAAGGACTTGGATACGCTAGGACAGTGGGCAAATAAGTGGTAGGTTGAATATAATGTTAGGAAGTGTGAAATTATGCATTTTGTAGGCAGATTAAGGGCATAGACTATTTTCTAAATGGGGAAAGTCTTCAGAAAACTGAATCACAAAAGGACTTGGGAGTCCCAGTTCAGGATTCTCTTAAGGTTAACATGCAGGTTCAGTAGGCAGTTCAGAAAGCTAATGCAATGTTAACATTCATTTCAAGATGGTTAGAATATAAGAGCAGTGACGTACTACTGAGGCTGTACAAAGCTCTGGTCATTCTGCATTTGGAACATTGTGAGCTGTTTTGGGCCCTGTAACTAAGGAAGGATGTACTGATTTGGAGGGATTCCAGAGGAGGTTTACAAGAATGATCTTAGGAATGTAGGTCTTGTCATACGAGGGGTGGTTGAGGACTCTAGACATGTACTTGATTGCGTTTAGAAAGATGAGATATTGAAACTTACAGGTTTGGATAGAGTGGAAGTGGAGAAGATGTTTCCACTAGTAGGAGAGACAAGGAACTGAGAGCATAGTCTCAAAGTGAAGGAACAACCCTTTAGGACTGAGATAAGAGGAATATCTTCAGCCAGAGGGTAGTGAATCTGTGAAACTCATTTCTACAGAAGATTGTAGAAGCCAAGTCATAGATAGGTTCTTGATTAGTAAAGGGGTCAACGGTTACAGGGAGAAGGTAGAAGAATGGAGTTGAGAAACAGCTGTTTGAATGACAAAATAGACTCAATGGACTGAATGGCTAATTCTGCTTCAATACCTTATGGTCTTCATATTCTGTCCAGTTGTTTCCAGCTTCCTCCAGGTTCCTTGACATTTTATGCAGACTTTTAGGCAGCACAAAAATTACTTTATATATCCAAGTATAATCATTTGTATTTTGTATCATCTTTATTACAACAAAATGTCACAAACCATTTAACAGGGACATTACAAAATAAAATATGATGTCAAGCCACATAAGCAGACATTATACAGATGACCAATAGCTAGATCAAAGGGGCAGGTTTGAAGGAATGTTTTAAAGGAGGTAAAAAAGGAATGAATTCCAGAACTTAGAGCGAAAACCTGACCCAAGCTGGATAAAGAGCATCTCATTTTCCACTTACAATCTTCACAACTCATCCTGGAGTTGAACAATTTCAGACCATGTATTCTGTTCTCCAATGTGATTACATCTCTCTGCCACAATGCAAACCTCTACCATGCCCCACCCCCACCACCCATGTCATGTTTGCAGCAAAACCGACCTATTTAGTGCTATTAACAATATCAATAATGTTTCTCCTTACCATTAGCATTCCCTTTACCTTTTTCTCTGGGCATCTGTCCCATCTGAAGCACTTGCTCCTCTTCCCCCCTTTCCAACTGCATTAAAATACTTTCAATCCCTTTCAGTTCTGAAGAAGTCATATCGGACTCAAAACTTGGTTTCTTTCTCCACAGATGCTGCCAAACTTGCCGAGTTTCCCCAGCACTTACTGTTTTCATTTCAGATTTCCAGTATCCATTGCACTTTTTCTTATTCTAGAACTTAGGGCCTAGGCAGTTGAAGGGAAGGTTTTCAATGGTGAGTACTCAGAGGCCAGATGACAAAACGAGCAGATGTCTTAGAGCACTGTAATGTTGGAGGAGATTGCAGAGAAAGGGAGGGATGACACCATGGAGGGACTTGAAAACAAGTTGGGAATTTTAAAATAAAGATATTAATCAAAGGCCAGTGTTGTCAGAAGCAAAGGAGCAATTGACAAATGTAATTTGCTACAGGTTAGTACCTGGGCAGCAAAACTCTGGATGAGCTCAAGTTTACAGAGGTTGCAATCTTGGAATTTGGCCAGGAATGTGTTGGAATCGTCAAGTCTGAAAATAACAAAGGTTTAGATGAGAATTTCAGCAACAGAGGAACTGAGGCAAGATGCAGATGGAAAATGTTAGACAGGCAGAAATAATGAGGAGATTAGAATGGCGAGGTAGACCTGTATATCATCAACGTACATGAGCAAACTGGAGTTGCATTTTCAGGTGTCAAGGGACAGCATGTAGATGAGAAATATGAGAGGTTTAAGGATAAACTCCTAGGGTAGAAAGAGAGGAGATATCAAAATGGAGTGCGGAGTTCATGGTCTGAAGTTGTTGAACTCAAAAGTTCAGTACAAAAGGCTCTAAGTGCCTACATAGAAGATGAGGTGCTATCCATCCAGCTTGCACTGGGCTTCACTGAAACACTGCAGTAGGTCAAAGACAGAAATATGAGCACAAGAGCAGAATGGTTTATGGAAGTGGCAAACAGCCGGAAGGCAAGGGTTATGCTTATGAAATGAACGGAGGTGTACTATCAAGCAACCATCCAGACTGCACTTGATCTCCCCAAGCTTAGATCACACCCAATTTTCCAGTTCCTTACCATTTTAATACACCATCCTATTTTAGAACTATGTTGCATCTCTGGCAATTAAATGGTTTGTTCCTGTATGTGATTTTATCATTGAATGGAAAGCAATTATTTAATTCCTCTAACTTTCATAAGTGTTTTAAATGTTTGCATCGAATGACTAAACGTGAATTGTTTAACTCTTTCAAATTCAATAATAGCTTGAGCAGCTGTTTTGCACATTCTGAAAGTGCCTTGGCCAAGCACTCTCAAGATGCTGTTTATCGTTTCTCATTGACTTGAACAGAGATCTTCCGATATCGACCTTGAAACGTTAACTCTGCTTCTCTCTCCACAGATGCTGCCAGACCTGCTGAGTTTTTCTAGTACTTTGAGGTTAATTGAAAATATGTAGAAAGTAGGAGGCAACATAGAATAAAGCTTATGGGCCTCTCCAGTGAACTGGCTTTGTCACAGGTGAGTTCAAATTTCCGCAGGCTGGTTTAACCTATTTGCAACCTTTTCAAAGGCTATGAATGTTAATTTCATTCAAATTTGATACCACCCAGGGATACTTTGAAAAAAAAATCAAAGCTTGGCTTTGGACTAGCGTCATTGTATTACCAACAAGTTCTCCAATACCAAAAATAAGTTCTCCCTATTCAGCTCAAACTGTCATTTTATTGTCCTATTTGAGCTTGCAGTTCTTTCTTAACCTTTCCCCCTGCCACCAGAAGGCTTTTTTTTCCTCCTTTTTCCTGGAATTCTCTCTCCTCTTGTCCCGTATGTAGTGTGGCACAGTGGCTCAACACCAGGGCCCGGGTTTGATTCCACCCTCAGGCGACTCTCTGTGTGGAGTTTGTACATTCTCCCTGTGTCTGCATGAGTTTCCTCCCACTGTCCAATGATGTGCAGATTAGGTGGATTAGCCATAGGAAATGCTGGATTACAGGGATAGGGTAAGAGGGTGGGTCTAGGTGCGATGCTCTTCCAAGGGTTGGCGTAGACTCGATGGGCTGAATAGCCTGCTTCCATGCTGTAGGAATTCTATGATCCTTTTCTCCTTTCTCGTACTCTTTTCTCTCCTGCCTGTTTTCTTTTTTCGTTCCTGGAACTCTAATTCTAATTTCCAATCTTTCAGGTGAAATTTTGATAAAGTGACTCAGTCTATTTCAGGCTTCATGCCTTCTGCCTACAACAGCTTCGGCACTCAAGCCCATGGTTACAAAAATTCACTCAGACCTAAGTGACATTACACATATTTGGAGAACGTCCTTATTAGTTTCATGGGACCTCTTTCTTGCCTGATCAGTTGCACGGATTAAAATTTAAGAGAATGGAAAGACAGCCAGACATGAGGGACATCTGGTCAAATGATGCCTTTATTTTAAAATTCTCACCTTTTGATTTACACTCCCTCGATGGCCTTGAACGTCTGATCTGTATGATGGTTTCTAGATATACAGTCATCCAAGGTATCTGTGCTCCTCAAAATTTGGCCTCCAGCAGTCTAGACTTCAGTTGTGCCACACTCAAAGCCAAGGCTTCCTCTACCCATTCACCTCTTCCCATGGTCTACTGCCTTCCTTTAGAAATTCCTTAAAACCTATCGCTTTGCTCAAGCTTTTGGCCATCTGGCTGAAAATATCCATATGATGTTTGATGTCAAAAGACAGGAGAGAAGGGAGACATCCTTCTTGTAGAGTAATTAAAGTGGAGGCTATCAATGATTTCAAAACCCCATTGGATAGGAACATGAAAGTCATAAATTTGCAGAGTTAACAGGATAGATGGGAGGAATGGACTGACTGGTTTGCTGGAGAGATTGGCATTTATGCAACCAGCTGAATGGCCTCCTTCCATGACCAGATGACCCTTTTAATCTATTTTAGATGTCCCCGATTATAATATTTAAACAATAATTATGCCAAGCATCTGATAAAAATATTTAATCTATTATGCATGTCAAATAGTCTTTCCAACTTCAAGATTTAATTTTAAAAACAAGCCAGTTGTTATTCTTTTACTGAAAACTCTTTTTACTGTATTTTCAAAACTAAAAACTTATCATATAATGAGCTTGTGATGAATTGGACAGTTGATAATTCATTCAGTTCAATCTTGCTGTAAATGTTGGTTTCAATAGAGAATAAAATGACTGAACAATTACTTATGGCGATGTCACTCCGTGTTCAATGGAAATTTATTCTTTGGCTTACTACAAACAAATAATTTGCATAAGAATAGAAGTTGCTCCAGTCACAATAACAGTCATAATAACTATGCTGATCATAAAGTACAATTGATTTATGAAAGTTACTAGCCATTTGAGTATTTTAGAATAAAATAAGCATCTGAGACTTAGTTTAATATATTACATCTCCGCACACTAATTCAAAGTCTGTTGCTTTATCAGTCTAAGTAATTCAAGTGAGCTGATGAAAACTGTATAATACAGATGGAAAGGGATGAAAAGTATTAAAATGCTATTGCATTTTGTCTTAACACTGGTAATGTACATGTCCCATTTAATTTACATTCTGTAATCTTCATCCTAGAACATAATATTTTCAGTTTATTTGCAATCTGTTGTGTTGGTTCTTGTAGTCATAACTTTACAAAAAGGAAACAATGCATTCTGTTTTCTATAATAGTCTAAAAACTAAAACTGCATTAAATTTTGCTAATTTATCTGAACTCTTCAGTTTCATTCCACAGGCTACGAATAATCATCTGCTAGGTACTGGACAACAGGGGTTCAAGATGGACAAATAATTGATAGGAGTACTTATTCTACTTTATGCATATTGTTATAGAAATAGAAAACACTTCTTTAAAAAAAAACTTGTCAAAATATACAATTCTAATAAAAACGAATTTTACATGACATTATTCCTTCATATTTTAGCAAGATTTTCAACTTTTTTTAAAGAAAATGTTACAAATTGCTGATTATATGCTTTTATCATCTAGCATTTTGTTCACACCATCACATATTTTCTGCAGAGAAGCTTTGTAAGATCCAAATGGATTGTACAGCACAGCTAAGAACTCACAATCCGAAAAGTGATTAAAAACATGGTTGATGCGTCCATGTGACTTGGCGGTGAGATGCCGATCAATGATTTGATGAAGCAGGTCTCTGCATTCATTCAGAAGTTTGGACAGAACATGCCGATCGAAAGTAAAGTCAACCTGATGAAAACTCACAATGGTCATTGCTAACTGATGAACTTTCTTCTTGAACTTCTCCACAAGCATCAGCTCATCTTGATTGAATTGGTTATTCCTGTACAAGACCCCTAGTTTTATGATTACCTTAATAAGATCTTTGACAATTTTTTCTGCTTCTTTTTTGTTCTGTGTGTATTCCTTGGTTGCTTTGTATAGCTCATCCAAAACATCACTGCTTGTATCATCTATTAATGCAGTTGCTATTGACTTTGATGCCATCTTGCCAAGTATTTTCTTTTGGGCCTGAACAGCCAGGCTTTTGGAATTGAAGACTTCAGTGGCCACTGAAAACATGAAAAGATAGTTTAAGCAAATGATCCAAAATTGTGGAAATAGCAGAACTAGCTCAAATGTTTTTGTTCTGTTTGAATTATTTCCTCATAATGTGACTTCTTTTTTTTAAGGACACATTTCCATCAAATGTAACATTGCACAATACTTCGGATCATATCGAGATTCGACCAGTGAATTCTGGCACATTATTTGCTCCAAACCTGAAAATGAATATCTGCGTGTCGTTCAACATTATTACTTTGTGTCTTTAATGCTTGTAAAATAATTTTCAAGACCAAATAAAAAAAATTCATGGTTTGTATATCTGGCAAACATTTTTATATAAATTTAAATATTTCTTAATAATTTTGCAGGCTACAACTTATGCATTCAAAATGCCACATTATCAGATATGAAAAAATGTAGAGAAGGTAAAAATAAACATTCTAAAAACTACAAATGTTAACAGAAACATTCTACTCGATGGAAAACTGGGCACTGTGCCTGCAGCATTATCCCCTGTACCTATCAACCATTTCACAAATGTTATCAGTGGTAGGGAGAAAGGGAGAATTGGGTGGCCCACTCATCCTCTCAACTATGGGTCATTGAGATCCTTAAGTGGCAAATTACTGGAGGCGTGGCATGGGAGGGGTGGGGTTGTCACTGCCTAGTGTCCTGCATTGAATAAAGAAGCTTGCCCCATTTTCGCCATCCTGACTTGGAAATACAACATAATTCCTTCAATGTCACTGGATTAAAATCCTGGAACTTCTTCCCTAACAGTATTTTGGGCATATCGACACCAAATGCTTACAGCAATTCAAGAAGGCAACTCACCACCACCACGTCAAGGGAAACTAGAGGTGGGTATTAAATGCTGGCCCAGCCAGCAAGGGCCACAACCCTTCAATTTATGTTTAGAAAAATGCATTGTACTGAGCTCGTCTGAAAATTCTTCAGATTCTCTTGGTCACAATCCTGGAATTTTCTACTTAACTCAATTGTGGTAGCACTATCGCCATAGTCCACACAGCAGTACTAGGAGAAGACGCAAGGAATAGGTAATAAATTCTGCTTTACATTGCAATTCGTGTATAATGAAAAAGAAAATCTGATGCTGACTCAATTTAACAGAAAAAAATATGTTGGAAGCTAAAATCATCTTTACATTGTAATTTCAGTGTCACTCAGAAACTTGTAAATGTGTATGTAAAATGCACAGTCAGCAGAGATCAATTTTATTAAAGGTTGCACTACGTTCAGTAATAAAGCAAAATTGTGCAGTTAATAAAAATCCTTTTAACAATTAACAAACGTAAGTTTCAAAGAAGGTTTTGTACTCCTCAAGGTTAATCTACACTTTAATTTCAGTGACATGTGGCAAAGTACTTGGATACTCACCTGGATGATTACATTTTATTATTCAAAGAGAGTGCCTGAAGAATCACTTTTCTCATGACATGAAAACATAAGAAAGAAGTAACTTATACTGACAAAATCCCACAAGGCCTCAAAGACACCACAAACACTATTAATTATTTTTAAGGTACACTGATAAGGAGTCAAAATTAATTTATCAACTTACTAGGGTATCTAATAATCTTTAAGCATAGCTTGGTATAAGCTAGACAATGTGACAATCAAAATGAATGTTTTTTGATACAAGTCTATAATATTTAGTTTACTATTTTCAGGATTTTCCAGTGATTCCGAACCTCTAAGTAGCATAAGGACAATATCAACTGACTGCAACAGGATCTAAACAAACTGGCTTGCATATTAGGCAGACGTGGCATTTGGCAGTTAAAACAGAGATGTGTAAATTTCTAAGATTGTGGGTGAGATCAGATTTGGGGATAGTCAACACTGATAATGACGAAATTAGCAAAATAAGTTCACCATAAATGTGAGGTAGTACATTTTGAGAGGAAGGTCCCCTTGTAACTCAGAAGGTGAGAGTCGAGGTAGAGGAACAATGGGATCTTGAAGTACAAGTAAACATATCTCTAAGAGATGCAAACTAAGTGCTTGGCTTCATTTCTCGCAAGATAGAATTCAAAAGTAGGCAAGTTCTTGTTTAAACTATGTAGGTTACTGCATAGAGATCTATTGACATATAATTGAAAAGATTCAGGGACACTGGAGAAGGAGCAGAGAAGATTTATCTAGATTTACAAGTACGAGATATGACAGAGTACACATCTGAAAAGGATTGACAGGTTGTTTCTGTTCTCTCGAAAAAACGGGCAGTGACCTAATAGAGATGTTTAAAAGTTACAAAAGGTTTTGAAAGAATGCAGGCAGAGAGAATGTTTCCTCTTGTGAAGATGAGTATAATTAGAGGCTCAGTATAAGATAGTGACCAAGATGTCCAATCCAAAAATCAAACAAAACTTCTTTATCCAAATGATGGTGAGAATGTTGATCGAAGAGAATACTATCGACAATGTTAAAGGGAAGCATGACAAGCCACTTGAGGGAAAATTGAATAGATTGTTATAGTGGTCGATTTAGATGAGGAAAGATAGCAGGAAATCCGAGTGAAGCACAAACACCATAATGGATCAGTGGGCAAAATGCTCAGTTTCCGAGTCACTGCCTGAGATATGAAATTCTATGCAATTTTAACATCAGAACGTTGCTTGTCCAGCAGTCAACATAGGGTGGTCAGACTTGATGAGAGTTACAACAGAGACAACAGATCTTTGGATGACTTATGCAGAGCATGGAAAGTAGAATGTGGGAGAACCAGCCAAGTGGAGATTATCCAGCATTGGAAAATCAGTAGCTCCTTCATCAGAGGTAGGCACTGCCAATGAAAGTCGGGAAACGAGAAGATGCCTCAAGATGGAGGCACACTCTGAACACTCAAAATTAAAAAGTAAGAAATGGACGCAGTTGGTGTTTAGGTCTGTGTATATGTGTGTGTGTCTATGCAAGTGTGTCTGCGTGTGCGGCGAGTCTGCGTGTGCGTGCTTTTTTGTTAAGTTTGATATCATCTTTAACCTTTCTAGTTAACCACGGATGCTAAGTCTGATGTTTAGAATTTCTCCGACTCTTTAGAATGTATCTTTTCTGTGTATACTGAAATATACCTTTAAATGTTTCAGTCACTTGGAGAAAAAAGGGTGTAAACCCATCGACTTTCCTGCTCCTCTGATGCTGCCTGACCTGCTGTGTTCCTCCAGCTCCACACTGTATTGACCATTTAAATGTTTGCAACTTTGGGCTGAATCTCATGACTTTTTTGGTTAAGTGCAGAGTTCTTCACCATGAAGCTGAGCCAGTTTCTTTGTTGTAACCTGCCAAACCTGTTGTATTAATTACCTATCGTGCCCCTATGGCATCTGTTACATCCAATTTCTGCCCCATCTTACCACAAGCCATTCCCAGAACAACTCTCCGCACAGCGAATGTCTTACACCCATGCCATCTTTGGAAGGCTGTTGTGCACCCAAAGAGCACTGGCATTCTGAAACTGCCCTGCTCGGTCAAGGATGGAGTCACAAGATGATGGAAAAGAGGAAGATTCTTCAACACAGACCTGTGGACAGGGGGTGCAAAGGAGAGGAGCCTTTTTCCCAGAAGCCTGACACTGGAGGCCATGACACCAGACCCTGCCAGCCTGGTCTAAGATCATTTTCAGAGTGTTAACCCTTACCTGCTGCTCACAATCAAACTCTCCTGTTCCTGAATGCCAACCAAATTAGAAAACTCCATCCTAAGAGGTGCGATTGCCTCCGGTACAAAGTATCTTAGCCTGTCCCTTATGTGCATCTATAGTTCAGCCAACTCGAACTCTGAGCCATAGCTGCTCAAACTTGATGCACTTACTGCAGATATGTTTGCCCTAATCAAACTGGCATCCAGTACCTCCTACATGCTGCAGCTGCGACACATCACCGACTGTAGCACCATTAATGTGTTTGAATTAGTTAATTTGTTGTATATTTAATTATGTTTTTATATATTTTCTTAACCATGCCATGAGTCACTATACTATTTTGAACTTTAGGAACAGAATGAACCTTCATCACTTGTGAAGAAGTCACCACAAATGTAGTTTCCTTGCCTGTAGCTGAGTAATAACCAACTCCTGGAGAATGAAAATGATAGTATAAGCAAAAGCAAAGAAACACCTTTTTCCCTGACTCCTTCAATTACACTCTGTTATGAGTAGCAGTCAAATTATCTCAGGGAGGGAAGTCAATGGCCTAGTGGTATTTTCGCAAGACTATTAATGTAGAGACCCAGATAATGTTCTGGTTCAATAATGTCCTTCAGGGAAGGACATCTGTCACCCTCACCTGGTCTGGCCTACATGTGATTCCAGGCTCACAACGATTTGTTTGACTCTCAGTTGCCCTCTGAAATGACCGAGCAAGCCACTTAGTTGTACCAATCACTACAAAGTCTCAAAGAATGAAAACCAAAAGAACTGTGGATGCTGTAAATCAGGAACAAAAACAAAGTTC